AAAAAAAAAAAAAAAAAAAAAAAAGGAAAGAAAAGTAAAAGACCACAATTTACTCCTAATAACTAACAAAACTAAAAAATATCAACAGACAAAAAAAACCACCTGTATAGACACATAATGAGCTTCAAGTAATGATTATCTTCTGCACTCACATACCGAATTCGCAAAAAAAAAATAATTGAGAAAAAAATGAAAGACTTTCTTCCTAAAACCTCCCTCTCAAAGAAAAAGATAACTGAAAAAGTGAAAAGATAAAAAAACCGTAGAGTTTTGAAAGAATTTTTTATCAAAAAATACATATTTTCAGAATGATCAAGTCAAAAAGTGTTCAGATTGTATGTATTAGTAAAAAAACCCTCCTTTTTCCTCTTGCTTCTTTTTCCACTACAAATTAACAACAAGAAACTATTAAAACTTTATAGCATATATGCATAACGTATGTGTGTAACTAAAAATAAAAGAAAAAAATGCGGCAAAAATAACTTCTGTACAAATGATAACAAAAAAAAATTTTACCAAACGACAGCAAACAGAACAACTGTTTTTGAAAGTTGGTACCAATCAGCAGATCTCACACTAACATTACCATAACGTTTACTTTTGCTCATCCGCGGAATATGGATAAATTGTTACAATTGAAAAAAAATTTAGCCATAAAACAAACAGGCGTGCACCAAATAGAATAATGGTGATAACAGCAAGTTTCCCAATAAAAAAGTCGCTAAACTTTTTTCCCCATTTTCAACTCGAAAAAAACAATATTCTAAAAAGTGTTTATTTTTAACAGCTCTCTGATATGTTAATATTCCCGGTGCAAAAGGTCATCGAGAATGAACATCAAAAGATAAACAACTACACCGATAACGGTAGCAAAACTGCTGAAAGCAAACAGTTCACCTCCTAAAGCCGTCTCTTACAGTGAATTTCAGGCAGACAATACTTGCCATCTTCAGTGAATCGTATTCTCCGCCAGCATTTCCTCTCTTTCCATTTCTTTCGTTACCCCTCTTTGTTTTGCTCAAATATTGCAGTTTTGAAGAACGATTGGTTAAGTGGATTGTTAAACAAGAATAAACCTCCCTTTCTTTCTTAGCATTTTATAGGTCTTGTATCTTTAGAACCTATTTACATAATCTACCAGATATCCAGAAAAAAAAAAACGTTTTTTTTTTTCAGAAGCATACTACTACTATTGTTATCATTACTACTGTTAATGTTAATATAGTTGGTGCTCATAGGACCAGCAACTTCTTAAAAACACACGAAGAATGATAAGCAAAAACCAATTTCATCGCAGTTTCAAGCTTGTTCAAAAAACTGATGCAGGAAAAAAGCTTCAAATATGTGCGAAAAAAAAAAGAGAAAAATACTTAGAAATAAAATATGTTACAAAAAATTTAAACGTGAGCAAACAGTATTTCATATTGGTGGAAACTAAAAACATTTTTTTCGTTAAAGACGAAGACAAAACGAAAGAAAAGTTGACAAGAAAAAAAAAGAAGAAAGAACCCGCCGCTGATATCGAAAAAAAAGATAGATAGATAGGAATTAAAACTGATAAGGTTTGGTAAGTTGAAAGAAAACACTAGCACGAAAAAACAAAGTAAGTATAATTGAATCAGTTAGAACTCTGTATAAACACAAACAATAACTAAATACTGAAATAATCACTAAAGGAGATTAAAATCCTGAAAATAGAAGTACTAAACTATTATATAAATACGCATAAAGGTGCAAAATACAAGTAATAAAGCAAAAAAACTAAAGCAAAGAAGTTAAATTAGAAAGTCATAGTGGGTTGCAAATCTAAAAATGCACGAGACCTGGGCAGTTCAAAGACCAGTCGCTGTTCCCCCTCTACCCACCTTCTGTTTCACCAGAAACTTCCCCGATCCTTCCTACAACTGTTTTGCGCTGTAGCACCTTCGCCGTCGCCGTATACTCACCAAAAACCTGCAAAGAGACACACAGACAGACTTGCTCAATCACAAATAAGCACAAACAAACACATTCATCCGTTTATCCAGTCTATCAGCAGTCTCGACTTCGCTAAATGAAGCAGGATGAGAAGAAAAGAATAAGATAAGCAGAGATCATTGCACTATCATCCATAACTAAATTCAGCTAAAAAATAACCCTGAATCTGTTTTTGGTGTCTTAGCTACTGGTAAGCTCAACTATTCAACAGCCCGTTTATCCTCCAAAAGAAAATAGAAAAAACGAACAGAAAAAAAGCACTGAGAGCTAGTCATACGATTAAACACTGGCAACGTGTAGAGAAGCTAAAAGCTCACTAATGTCGTCACCCTTCGGCTTTTGCAAGTCGATGGCGATATGACCATAATAAGTAAATCTGAACAGAAAAAAAAAAAAAGAAAAAAGAAGAGTAAAGCAAAACTGAGAACAAGAAACAAATTCCTGCTGCCCTCGCTGTCGTAATGTATTTATTGGCACTCCAAATTGAAAAGTTCTCTTCTCGCCTCTCACTCCTTCATAGCTTCTATCCCATGAACACGTATTAATTCACTGTTACCAAGTATTATTTCTAGTCCAAACAAACGTTCAGAAAGTACAATTTGGAAAGTAAAAATAACCACTCTGAAATTTCGAAATCAAAACCAAAACCGCTTCTTCTTCTACTCATGTTGCTGTTACTAATATTGCGGCAACGTTCACCTATCGCTTTCTCGGCTGCCGTCCAACGACGTCATTGGAAATAAAGAAATAAAACGCTTTCAAAATTCAAAAAATAAGACAGCGACATCAGCAATGACAGTGGCAACAGCGCCAATAGCAATAACAGTAATAATAATAGGAGTAATAGTAATGGTAATAATAAAGATAATAATAATAATAAATAATAATAATAATAACAATAACAATAATAACAACAATAAGTGAAAGTCCTAGAAGTAAAAATTTTTTATTAAAAATGAACAGACAAGTCAGTTTCCTTTCTGTTCAACGTATTCTAGAAATCACCAACACACACACACACACACACACACACACACACACACACACGAGAAAAAAACAAAAGTAAAAAATAAAAAATAAAAGACACAAAGAAAAAAAGCGATA